CCCTTTGTACGAACAAAAGTAAGAGAAATTTAGGATAAGAATACGAACATGTTCTTGCATGAGGCCCAATGTGTTTCTGTAAGACTGATAATCTACAACAAGATGGATCAACTGGTCTTTGGACTGCAGCAGGTGTCCTCCTCCTCCTCCTCCTTCTCCTCCTTCTCCTCTGAGCAGCTGCTGTCTAAGTTCAGGGTCAGCATTCCTGAGGTCTGCAGGCCGTTCGTCCAGCTTCACTGTGTTTTTGTTTCTACTGATAGGAAACTGATATTTAAAGATGTAACAAACTCTGTTCTTTACACGCGTCCTGAGGCGTCACAGGAGCAGGAGAATGTCTCCAGCTGTTATTGATTAACGAGGTTCATAATTAACCCGAGCTCGAAGCTACGATCCAGAATGTGCTGTTGGATTGTCGCTGCTGTTTGCTGGTAAACCCAGTCGTTTATCGGCTGTTTTCTCTGCTCGTGTTGAAGTTACGAACCGATAACGGAGCGAGAACTCGTCAGAGGCTCCTCTTTGCGACAGGTTTCACGTTAGTCGCAGGTTTGAAGAAGTTGGGTGTCGGAACAGGAGCCGAGCGCTCGTTTGTCGGCGCGGCTGTGGTTTTAGCTGTTCTGTAATCTGCAGCCGTGAGGAGAACCGTTCGTGGGAACKCCGAGACCCGCGGGGCTCGGAAGCTGTCTGGGAATCCTCCAGAGACYGTGGGAGTGTTTGAGGAATCCTGCTGTCCTCACCTCCCTATGAGCGTCGACATACTTTAACAATCTGCATCAAAAATGCAGCATGAATGCTTAAAGCTGAAAGATTTTAGCTGGGAAAAAAAAGGCTTAAAAACACAATTTGTTGTAAAATAGGTATAAAAGCAGTAATTTGCAGAAAAGTAGTAAAAAAGTAGCTAAAAAGCAGAATCTAGCACAGAGAAGCAAAAACAGTCTTAAGTAGTAAGAAGGCAAAATATCCCAAAAAGGTGAATTTAGCTGAAAAACACAAAAATTAGCTAAAATAGCTAAAAATACATTTTTAAATTGCAGAAAAAAATCTGAAAGAAGTTTAAATACAGTAGATTAAATGAGCAAAAGATAGCAGATAGAAATACAAAGGTATTTAAATCAGCAGAATACTTTAAAGGGCAGAAAATAGCTGAAAAAAACAGAATATATATAT